TCTTTTTTCCAAGCAAAAGGGTTATTGATAATGGATTCCATGCGTGCTCATTTACTTGAGTCAGTGAAAACCAGATGTCAAAAATTCTCTACGACTGTAGCAATAATTCCTGGTGGTTTGACAAAAATCTTACAACCATTAGATTTGTCAGGTAATAAATCCTTCAAAGCTGAAGTCCAAAAGCAATGGGAGTGTTGGATGAGTCAAGGATTGAATACGTATACCAAAAGCAGTCAAATGCGTACAGCATCTTATGAAGAAGTTGCAAAGCGGGTAGGAAGTGTGTGGAAATCGGTAAAAACATCGTCAATAATAGCAGGGTTCAAAGAAGCTGAAAGTATATCCTTAGATAAAGAGATTGTAAACCAAGAGGATGAATGTGACAATCTGGAAGACTTGGACTTAGATCAGGATTTACTAAATCTTTTTAATTCAGATAGTGAAGAATCAGATTTTGATAGCTTCATATGATGTATAGTTTGCTGTAATTCCTTTTTAGGTAAAATTTAAAATTTCCTTTTGTCATCAAAATTCAATATTTCGTTGTTGCAACATTTTTTATAATATAGTCTGAGTATTACAATTATGGACTTCTTCAGTGGGTAAATATAAGTATATATGTGAAGGTAAATATATTTTTCACATTTCTTACCTTTAATTTATTTTTGAGTTATGGTTTCATTTCATGCATTTTTCTTAACTGGTATGTCATATAGCAGGACTTAGGTTGAGATTTTTCATCTATATGGCCCACGACGATGTCACGGGCAATTTAATCTATTGCGGCGTTTACGCTGATGCGCCGTTTCTGTGTAATTTTTATTTTTTTCTTGCCATTGTTCTCGATTGCGGCATTTAGGCTGATGTGGCCTTTCTTCCGCAAATTATGGTAATCCATTAATTAATTTACTTGCACAAAAAAAATATTTTCTTTTGCTTTAAAGTGTAAAGAAATTTTAAAGGATATTCATTTTAATAGCTTCATATGATGTATAGTTTGCTGTAATTCCTTTTTAAGTAAAATTTAAAATTTCCTTTTGTCATCAAAATTCAGTATTTTGTAGCGGTCAAATGCGTAGTAATTTGTAATATGTCTTGTAATTGTTTTTTCAGTAAATTTTTAAAGTAATCCAGGTATTTATTGCAGCTAAATCTAAAATATTATAAAAAGTATGAACAGGCCATCTTCTAGAAGATGCTTTTACAACATACATTCTAGCCATCTGATCAATTACAAAGACACCACATTTGGTTGCATTATTAAAAACTAATTGTTTCTGGGATTTTCTTTTCATTGTTACTTATATCAACAGATGAATGAAGAGTAACGTATTTGACGGCATATAAGACACACTTTTTTTTCCTAAATTTGGTCTCAAAAAAGTTACCTGCGTCTTATACGTGAAGGACACAGGTTAACTTTCAATACTGAATGCTATTTTTAGCCCGGATAAAGGTCTAGATACACATAACGTTTTCTACATCTATATGTGTGTGGCCTTCTAAATAAGGGTGCGTCTTATATGCCATCAAATATGGTACTTAAAATCATTACATTTCTCTTTCTCTTTCATTGATATACTTGTAAGAGTAGCGCTTGTTTCAAAATTTTAGATTCATACTGTACCTCTCGAGAACCTTTCATGGACTCACTAATATTTCTTTTGGCATGATTTGTTGGTCCACTATCTTGCCATGTAATACTTTGTTTTGGAAACCTTCCAGAAATTTTTTTTAATACATTTTCCATTCTGTGCTTGATGATCCGGATTTCGTCAGCATAATGAGAAACTTTTGTATAATCTTCAATCATTATTACATCTCTACAATTTCCATTAATTGGAGAAATTTGCCTATTGCTTGCAATATCAAAAACCCATCAAATTTGTGGCTATCATCATCATCATCATCACCACCACCACCATCACCATGAAATATGATAGCAAGACAAATTTTTGACAAGTATTTTTAAAAATATCTGCAGACAAGTCCACACAAGGCTTTAAATAGGAGAATTTATGTTAAATTAGTACTTCAAAACTTCCTGAATGTTTTCGCAACTCTTCAAAAAATTTAAGAAGGATTTTAAGAAGGCTACTTCATATCTGCAGTTCATGATACTGCATGTACAGCTATCGGATACCATTGGAATGATGAATGTGCAATTTAGAAAGAATACGACTGAGAAATTATTATTTAATAAAATTTTAGGTATGAGCTGAATGGTTATCTATAATCAAGACAATTTTTACATCAATCAATAAACCACCAAATTCAAATTTTGCAAACCCTCAGTTATGAAACGATTTTCAATCATTTATTGTTTGTGTCATTAATGTTGGTTTACTTGAAAAACAACACAATTGTTACTTTTTTAAATGGCTGAGGTTGTGCACTTTTCCAGTTATGAAACTTTTACATCTGCACATTCCTTCAGCATTTGTACTTGCCAAGATTGCTAATCTTGCTTTGCAACACCTTCGATATCAGCTGAAGCTTTTTTACCTGAAGTTTTTAACTTATACAATGACAATTTCTAAATTGAACTAAACAAACTGAGCACAGTTTTTTAAACTCAACATGTGCACTCAATTTTTCTTCATTTAACACTGACATGAATCACTAGTACGAGACCCGTCAATGGCATACTCTTGTTATGATGCCCTCTCTCCCATTCAGTCCTCAATTTGTCATAATAGTCATTAACATAAAGAAAAAATTTTCTATTTTCACTTAGAGCTGGGTGTCAGATTCCACATATGGTTCCTTTTCCTGTTTTTTAAGTTATCTACTACTGACTTTCCAAATATAACTGCCTTATAACATGGCAATTTTTAAACTTAGCTAAACAACCTGTTGAATATAAGCAGTCAGTTCTGAAGCCCATTTCATCATGTAACACTTTTGCTTAAGTTGTCAATGGCATTTGTTTATTGTGATGCTGTTTCACCAATTCAATCATCACTTTGTCATGATTGTCACTTGTAGCACAACTAAAGATGTTTATATTATCAATAAAAGTTAGATGTTGGAATTCACACAAAGTTCCTGTTACTGTTTTATGTCATATACTACTGATTTTACAATACCATGCTCCTCACATCATTTTGAAATGAATATAAATATTTTTTGGGGAGACGGCTGCAGCAATTTCACTCTTTCTTGCTTAACATCAGAACATGCTTTTGTTCAGCAGATCATCTTGCAGCCCCAGAATTAGAAACTTTTTTTGACATGATAAAAAGTTCAGACTTCAATTTTCATAAAATAAGTGTAATAATAATAGCCTATAAAAACCTAATAAGTATCATTAAATTAGAAAATTAAGAGTCCAGTTATCTATATTAAGTGAATTTAAAAGTACTTCAGAATCTTTCTCGCTTCTACACTACCATGTTAATGAAAGAAAACTAGTATAAGCAAAATCCTAATCCAAACATCTCAAGGTTTCACTTTTCAATCACACAAAAAAAAATGCTAAACCACTACAGGAACCCAGGGGCCAAAAGTATGGTTGTGGCAAACATCAATCGATGAACTACTATTGGTCATAAGACAATGATTAGCCAGTTGGTGTCTGAAAGTGACATGCAAGCATGTCCATTAAAAGAAAAAGTTGGCTGAAACACTTTACTGCCATTGGTCATAGAGCAATTCTCCAGCCAGCAGGTGTTTGATTGTGGCATGCAAGCATGTCAGTTAATCGGGGATGGTACAGCTTTAATGGCACACCTACCTCTTTTTTATTATGTTCTCCATTCCTAGCCTTCATAAGGAAGGGGGAAATTATTCAAAAACAAAAATTCTGCTGTTTCAGACTTTGCACAACATAATGCACTGAAATTTAGTTGGCTAATATAACTGAAAACTATCACCTAAACTCAACAAGACACTTTTAAGGCATTACACGCAGGGTGTCCAAAAATTATGGACAAATTTGAATATTACATTTTAAAAAGCAAGATCACTGGCTTTTTTCATCTCAAGAATAACTCAGATGTTTTGTTTTGAAGAATCGTTTTGTGCAGAAATTCTTAGATGGTATTTTATGTGATAATGACTGCAATCAAAAGTCACAATTTTCATACAGCAGCAAAGTGTAAATGTTATGGCTTGTAGAATTAAACTATATCCATCAAAGTTAAAAGATGGTCCCACCATGGTTCTAATACTCTACTAACCAATTCACCTACGCAGTGGATAAAATAGTTTAAACATCATGCTATATATTTATAATGAAAGAACCAGTAGGCCTAATGTGGACAATGAGACAACTGACTGTGAGCACGATAGACCACATCAAAAACCTAAGAAAATCCATTTGTCATGTAAGCATAGAATCTTGCATTCCAAAATCAACAGGTCATGGTATCTTGTACAAGAAATTAGTTTCAAGCAAACAAAATTTAAATACTCCAAACGATGCTTCGAAATGATCACAATGTATGAATCTGCTGAACATATACTGAATTAAGTTAAAAACCTTGACACTGTTTTTCACTCTCTAGAAATAAATAGTATTGGGTTCTTTTCTGAGATATTATGCTAAAGACCTTACCTATCAGATGCCATGTACTTGTTAACTGGAATAAGCTGAAACAGCTCATAACATTTGCTATTCATTTCATAACCCTTCATCTGCTTAAAAATAACTAGCATGAAACAGAATATTGTTTGGGCATACTAAGAGAAACAAAGGGTTCTCACATTAAAATTCCTAATAACATTGCTAGTGAGTGAAAAACATTTTACTGATATTTCTTCTAGTTTCTTATTCTTTTTTTTTTTTTTTTTTTTTTTTTTTTTTGTTTAAGAGCACTATTTTCAATTATGTCCAATAATTCTCAAATGTCCTGTACAATACTACTAAGACAAACATAATTTTAAGCTTAATACACAAGTGAGCAATTTTGAATTAAGCATTCTTTCACTGATTTAGAATCACGTGAAATTCTGACTCAGTTAATGGCAAAATTTTGAATAGAAATTATCTGACTCACTTTGTTTCACAATATATACAATCCTGAATGCTTGGTCCAATACACTGTTGACAATGTGGGTAACAAGCATCACAACTTTTAGAATCCTGATTATACCATCCTAAGCAAAATAACATGGATTACTTTTAATTCAAAAGAGACACAATACTTTAGATAAACAAATGTATATTCTTAGTTTATACTAACTACTTTTTTCCTTTAATCCTTAATTAAGAAGGTTTTACAAAATTAGCAAAATAGTAGAATATGTTTGTGTGAATATAATTTCATTACAATTTAATTAAAATTTAATGATTCTACTTTTATTTACAAACAGAAAATTTATCAAAGTGAAGTTTAGAATATACCTTAAATTAAATGCCCTCTCATTTGAACTTCTCACAGGCAAGTGGTTTGAGGTAAGGAAAATTAACTTATCTTTTACTACACATTATACGATAAAAATATAAGATTATCACAGTGCAATTAAAGATTATTCATACAATTATTTTACAAATAACACTTAAACTTCATGCTATGAAAATAGTAAAATTTCTATACTCAACAAAACTGTAGTAATAGTTATTACTTGCACACATTTGAAAAATATTAGACATTACTTACTTCTAAAACAGAGAATATATTAAACTGCTAATGAAATTACGCATAAAAATCAGCTAGAAGCATTAATTCTTAATTTGAGCAAAGAATAACTAAACAGCAATACAAAGGGTAGCTGTAACTATATCAGACGTACATTTCAACCACATGATGTTGAAACGTGCTGAACTCTGAGCCTTAACTAAAATATATTCAATTCTGAGTAGTAGTGGATTACAGAACAGAATTCAATAGTTTTCAGCTGCACACAATATTAAAAATTTTTCACTCAACTTACACCTGCTTCACATTTGTTACACTGCTGCTTATGTAAAAGAAAAATGTATCTTCACACTTAAGGCACAATGAATAGAATCGGAGGCTATGACAAAACTGAACTACAAAAACAAAGTAGGAGCACTAAGCAATTCAATCTGGGTGCACAGCAAAGTTGTAAAACACAATTTTTTTTTGTAATCATAACAATATTCTAGATTAAAAAGGCACTAAATGCATAAAATATGAATTTATCATTGCTGGTATCTAAATATGGGATCCGTTTACTTTTAAGTATCAATTAAAATGAATAATGGCTACGCTTCATTAATTTTTTAAAACCTCAATATGTGAAAGCAATTTCACTGACATTATTTCTAAGTGGATCAACATTACTCTCAGTCAAATGCCTTAATATTTCTGACATCTCTTGAACAAAAGTGTCAAAATTAATTGAAATTGGAGGATTTAACTGAACATCTCTTGACAACGGTATCACAAAATGTTCAACAAGGCCTTCAAAACTATATTATTGGGCAATATTTTATCAATATATATATCACTATATTATAGCATAAAATCACTTTTATGTAATTACATTTAAAATAAATTAATCGTACATTATACTGTTATTTTAACTACTTTCATTACGAGATGCATAATGTTAATTATATTTATGTACAGTGTATAATGAAAAATATCTATAAACCAAACAATAAAAGAAGCTTTAAAACATAAAGAATAAAATGTCATTTGCTACTTCCTTAAAACAACATTCTTGAGCTATGGAATGTTAAGTTTGTGAAGTCTTAATGGAAGACAGTTTCCAAAAGAAAGTTTAATAACTATTGAAGCACTTATTAAGGAGTAATAAAGTGTTACTTATAAATACACAACCACGAAATATTCCTTTTTTTCCCTAGCTATTATGCACTATAACATTTTATTAAAATTTCTAGTACTGGGATTAACATAATTAGAAAAATAAAAATGTGACTAAGAGTATAAATGGGGAAAGAAAGAATATTAACAATAGATTCAAAATATAATTTACATACCTTTTTTGCAAGAATTCAATACACATTTATTTGATGCATCAAATTCCCAAGTAAAAGAACACTCAATGCATGTAATATTATCATTACATATTTCACAGGATCTATGACACCTAAAATATATTAAAAAGCCCTTAAAAGACACAATTCATTAAATTACAAAATGTTTTACAGTCACACATCTTTAAGCTGCACATGCACAAAGGAAAAAAAAATCATTCACTGCAGGATAATAATTAATACATATTTTAAAACAAAGTCAGCAAGAAGCACACACTTCATACATTTTTAAATATAAATCTTTATACAAATCAGCATAATATTATCACAGCACTCTTCCATTTACTGTATCAAAAATTATATTTTATAAAGCTTTGGAAATACAAACTAAAAAAAGAAAAGTAATATATTTTCAAAAAGAAATCAGACTTCAGTATACAGAACTTTACAAATCAGCATGATAGTACCACAGCACTCTTCCATTTACTGTATCAAAAATTTTATTTTATAATACATTGGAAATATAAAATAATAAAAATAATGTATTTGAGAAAAGAAATCAGACTAATACATTGTAAACATTTTGATCATTTAAATTTTTAAATACTTTAATTCTTTATATTGTATTTTATATTTCTGTATTGTTGTAGCATTTTGTATTGTTTTATTTGTATATTTTATTTATTAATTGCTATTACAATGGTAATTTTACGGCTTATTTTGGGTTTAACCTTATTTGTGGCAACATGTCTAGTATTTGAAGCCTACTTGCTGCATAGAATCGTGAAGAATTTTAATTATGAGTGCAACAGCTTTGGAATTGTAAAAATAGCTCAATTAGAAAGTGAGATATTTAGCAGTTCCTCCTTAGCACATGAAATAAATCATTAAGTTCCTCAAATTACTATCAGGGTAAACCCTAACTTATAGTTCAACTAATTGCTAAATCTCACAGCTGATTCAGAACTGAACTTCCTAGCTGTCCCTAGCTCCAAGCTGGTGGCAAAAATTATCTATAAGGCCCCTTAGGAACGAAATTGCCTATATCTTGCTTTCCAGTCATTATTGTGCTATGTGTACAATTTTATTGCAATTGTTCATTTCTTCATGGTCAGTCTTATCTGGACTTACAATTTAAAGAAACATCAACAATCCCACGGCTCGCCACAACATGAATTAATCTAATCAGTATTATCCACATCTGAAAGCTCAAAATATTCTGATTACACACTGGTATATGACAATACACACTGACAGAGTTCTCTTGTCTCAAAAATCTGTTTGTATAACACTTTATTAGAAAAGTTTTATTACAAACAGAATGTGCATATCCCAATTTCAAAAATACAGCTGACAGCATTTTTCTTTATTCAAGTTTCTTGACATTCCTGTGAAAACTGGTGATGTCACCACTCAGCAGAAACTGATTATGTTAGAAAAAGTTGGCTTTTTCTTGAAATGAAAAATCAAGAATATAGGTTAAAGTTGCCAGTGCTCTATATATAAGGGATCAATTACAGTACTAAGTACAGTATACCAATACATGGACCAGATCAAAATTTCAATAAATTGTCACCAAGTTTGGTGACTTTGGGGGATTTCTCGCCAAATTTGGCAAAATATAGTCCCCCAAACCATTGCCAGCTCTGGGATATCTCCTCAATTTTGCGAGACAGACATTTACCTAAAATGTTAAATAGACTTGCCCCTGTAACACTGTTTTTCTGGCAGAGCTTCGTTTTTCAAGCATTTCATGATACATTATACAAAAGATACTACAGTTTCACATATACCTTCACTAAACATATTTACACAGATACAAAATTTGTAACAATAAGTCAAGAAAATTTGTAAGTTAATATCTAGCACACGGTGTCTATTTTTTAGAGAAGTTCACTAGTAAAATAATGGGAAGGTAAACTGAGGAAAGCACACTTCTGAATTCACTGTACAAAAGAACCTGCTTTAGGAACATTTTTTTACTCAACTGTATGCTGTACAAAGAAGTTTCACATATGAGCAAGGCTTATTAGGTATATTCTATATTTTGTTCAATCAATGTACATTAAGAATATATCAGATGCACCTATGGTCAAGATATTCAAATATTTCTCTAAAATTAAAATCCTACTCTTTTTCTTTTACACGTCATAAATTGCAAAATACACCTGCTTTATACAAATGTAAAAGCAGCTTTTGTCAAACATAATGGTTAACTGTAATAACTGTGACCAAAATATAAATATTTGTTTATTGATTACACATGTAATAATTTAATTGCATAAAGCTTCATAATTATAACAGTAACAGCTACTATTGTCTCATCCTCTGAGTCTTGGTTCTTTTAGCTGGATCTTCATAGTACCAGGGATCCATGGCAAGAGACACTGTTTGATGTTAATTCATTTATTATGTACAACATCTCTCTTGTACTAATAGAAGTTTTTTCCTACTGCCCCCATTACCTCTTATATATTTGTTTTTCAAATCCAACCTAAGAACTCCATTTTTACTGTTTCCAAAACTAAATATGAAATAAAATGTTGCCAATGAATCCATCTTCCTTTAAAAATTATTAAATTGGTAAATAACTTGCATGTATCCTGTGAATATAAACAACATTTAAATGATAAGGATGATTTGACAACAAATTTTACAAAATGTAAGTAGACTTGTTCTCTCTCTCGCTCTTCCTCCCCCCAGGTATGTCACTTTGCTCCGCAAGTCTTTCTTTTCTCATGAGGTAAAGGTGAGTTTTGAAGGAGTTTATCTCATGAGGTAAAGGTGAAAGGTGAGCTTTGAAAGAGTTTTCACTTAGAGGGAGGTTTACACCTCACTTTACACTTTGTTTATAATTATTCGACTCCAGTAAAAAAAACTGAAGCCACCCAGCAAATCCTTCTCCTCTCGAGCACGGCACAAAAGAAAAGTAAAACCAGAGAGCAATAAAGGAGTTCATACTGAGAGTAAAAAATAATACTACACAATAAAAAAACACATGTAAAACATAAGCAATGCATATACCAAATTTTTCTTGCCTGGAATTATAACACAGTACAAAGTCCGAGATCCGGACGTCCAATATCCAGAATGATCTAAAATCCGGACCTCAGTGACACCAACAAATAAAAGAAAAATTTTTTTTGTATGCTTTACGAATGCGCATTTGATTCGCTCCCCAACTCATAATAAAACCCGTGGAGGTCCTGATTCGTAATTTCACTTCAGTACTAAATAAAATGCCTCGTTATTGAAGAAAAAATCATTTTACCATAAATTCGTATGAGCGAGATTTTGGCTCCAATCCGTATCTGCTTGGTATACATCTCAAACTGAAACATTCTATATAGATACGTCGTTGATTTTACATATACTAATATTTTATATCCCTGACGCCAGCCTGGTGAATCATTATTTATTATAGTTTGCTTCCATCACCCCATGTTTATCAACACATGATAAAATGAGTAATGACTCATGTAGCGATGCCTAATTTTTTTATGTTAGTAATTGAATAATAAATAGTATGGTAACCTTTTACGTTGACATTACGCTTAGCGATGATTACAGATTTAAGTTAAATGCCCAAGAAATGTTGACAAGGAAAACTTTAAAAGAAAAATTCTTTCTATATGCTAAAAATAGATTTTCTTAATGATACTCATAAGTCAAAAGATTACATTTAGTGCTATTTGAATTAAGAATTACTAATTTGCTACTCACATAAACCCAGAAACAGCTCCAGGGCTCGTATGGCCGCACTGGGCGGCAGAATTTAGGATCCACAGGAGACTACATCAGGTGGTAAGATATCTAGCGCAGGCCCTCAATAAGCTTTAAGTATATGTGAGAATTTATTTATTCAGGACTCAGATAAGCCTTTAGCATATGCAAGAAATAGACGTAAGTATAATAAATAACTAAACTAATACAAATCCGGCTTAATTGTCTCGCAGCGCGATAGAAGCAAAATAAAACTTAATGGAGCAACATTTCTTTAGTCATCAATCTCATGATACATAGCCAAATATGTATAGTGAATGATAGTTAAATTCTATGATCATAGCCGCAAATTTTAAAGGTTTTTGGATATCGCAAACCAAAGACGATATTTTCGAATTAAAGGATTTTGTAAGAAAATGTGGAGAAATGGTAATAACAGATGATGTAAAAGAAGTATTTCATTGTGATGATAATGCTCCTCAGTCATCAATCAATTAATGGATGGCAAAATCTGTATTATGGTTCTAGATCCAGAAAATACCACGATAGATAGTGAAGAAAGTAGCAGAGAGTTTACTGAAAACGAAAAAATATCGATTGACAAGCTAGTTGGAACTCTCGACACAGCAATTACAGGACTTCAACAATGTAACTGAACAAGAATTTATGTCTGTCTGCAAGAGAAAGTATTAGTACCAAAAAACGAAGGAACTTAAACAACTTACATTGAAAGAAATGCTTAATAAGTAAACAAATAAATATTCAACTAGTTATTTATTTATTTTTTATTTTTGTAAATCATAAATGCTTCTTTATTTCATAAATCACGATTCCATATTTTTAATTTTATTATTTCTACATGCCATTTTACTAGATTTAAACTGATGATATAATATCCGGAAAAGTCTTAAATTCAGAATCGCGAAAGTCCCGACGAGTCCGCATCTCAGACTCTGTACTGTATTACCAAACAAAAGCATTACATTACCATTATAATGTGTTGACATAATTTGGCAACAAATTTTTTAAAATATAGGTAGACTTGCACTTTGGGTTTTTACCAATTATTATGTCATTTCTCTCAACAAGACTTTCCTCTTTCATGCAGAAATATTTCTCAAAAGTGTTTTCACTTAGCGGGAACTTCACAGCTATATTTCAAATTTTAATGGGATGGTAGCATGGATAGGAGGAGTAAGTTGTAATTTAATCACAGTGCTGAACCTAATCTATAAAACTTATTAAAACGTAATGAAGTTGAAACCTCAATGTTCAACATCATATAAAATTAATGTTTATGAAATTACTTTTAATATTATTGCTACTCTGAAAATAAACTTGAAGTATTTCATAAGTGCTCCTATAGCAAACTATTAACTTTGGTATTATACAAGAAAAATATTTATACTTTTAACTTATAAACTACCACTGAACAGAAAATTTTGTTTTTTTAAACTACTTACTAAGTTTTCATCATCATATAAGAACATTATGTTCTGCTTCACACACGAACAGATAATAAAAATTATCTTACCTATTGCATTTGTAATCACTGTTAGCATAAAAACGACTAGGGCACTTTGGCTGACAAGTACCATTGAATAAAAAGTATCCAGAGCAGCTCAGACAGTTAAAATGAAGAGGGCCATAACATGATTCACATGCTTCGTGACATTTCTTACATCTGTGAATGGAACATAAGATTACTTTAATATTACATCACATTAAAATACTACCAATCTAAGAAGAGAAATTGATTTCAGCATTCTCCTATACCACTTCCATATTATAAGCACTATAACTAATAAAAGCTCTATTCTTTCAAAGAATTTTGCTTATGCAGCTCTACTGTATTCATACTTTCCCCTTAGTTGTTTAAAATAGCTAAACATCTAAAAAATTTTCTCCTTTAATACTGATTAGAAAGTTATAAAATTTTAGTAATTAAATATCAACAAATTGCTAGTATTAATACTTCTCTTTATAAAATTTAAATGCAAAGAGAAATTTTAATGATATTAATAATTCTCAACAACAGTTTTAGCACTGTCTTAACTTTTCACTAACTTATTTGTTTTTGATAATAAAACTGACCACTTATAGTCACTGAGTTAATTGCATCTACAAAATAGGAATATTTAATATACAACTTGAAAAAAAGACAGCAAAACAACAACATTTAAAAAAAAAAAAATTCAGACAGATTTGTACCTGTATTTCAAAATTCTAAAAAATTAAATACATTTTGCTATATATTAATGCAAGAATGGCAAGTCCTGCAACCACCAATAGGCAGCACCTGACAGAAAAAACTCATCACCTGCACACCTGGAGATACAGCGAGGCAGATGACAAGATGTCAGACCATGTGGAGGTGGCGATGATAGACTTTTAAGTCTCATCTAGTATGAGCAGGCACCATGTGATTGTGTAAGCCCATGAAGTAATACCAAATTGTCCTTGTATTCAACGATCATGAGAAGGTGTTGGGCAACTGTTTTATTTTACTGTTAAGCTTTATAAATCTTAAATGTTCCATGGTGTGGAAAAGAAAAAGGGATTCCTTATTATTTACTGTAAATTTACTCAAAGTTAATAGTACATCAACTTCAAATTCCTCCCGCAGAAAATCTGGGGTGCTTGGTCCTGGATTTGACTAAGAAATAAGCACGGTGAAGTACTGCTTTATATGAATTTACTATTCTAATAATGAGTGTATTGAACAATATCAAAAAGCAAGATTTGAAAATAATCGCGGAAGAGTTAGGCCTAAAAGTGTTGGCTGAAGTGAAAGTGATTGAAATCAAAACTTTAATAGAGAATGGTAATAGTTATAAAACTGATCCTGAATTTGTCCATGAAATTATTAAAGCTGCTGCAGAGGATCAAAAGAACAAGGTGACTGAAGAGCAGTCAAAATTACAATATGAAAAAAATAAGTTAGGTCAGCTTGAGAAGAAAATTTGAGCTCCCAAAATTGAAGCTACAACTGGCTGATGAAGATGCCGATTGTGCTCTGATTACAGATTCTGAACAAGCATTGGGCAGTTTAGAAAATATCATCGAAAGCATTAAAACCCTCACTATAGTTGTCGATCAGAGACTGGAAACTCTGCATTTGCTTTTTCAATCACTTGAAAAAGCTTTTACTTCCAAAAGTGTACCAGTTGAGTTTAAACCAGAAGCGTTGATTAATTTATTAGGTGATTAATGTAATCATGTTTTAATGTATGCTTCTGAACAAGAAATAATGGAATATGATAAATTAAAAACACTAATCTTGAAGTAATTTCAGCTGACACCAAGTGAATGTTTGAATAATTTTTTTAAATGCACAGAGACATTCGAGTCGCATGTTCAGTTTGCATCTCGACTCGGTATCACTTTCGATCATTATCACAGATTAAAAGTAGGTAGAAATTGTAGGTGATTATAAGGATTCCAATGTGCGATCTCATTATATCTGATGGAATGCTTGATTCGATAAAAAAGGAACATAGTAGCATTTGGAAGGGCCAAAATTGATTCCTACCTAATCAATTTAGAACAGAATGTGATTAATTTTATTCATCTAGGTGGAAGTTCTTAGCTGATATCACTAATATGCGAATCAAAACTCCCAAAAATAAAGGGCTTAATTTTTCCAAAACCAATCCTAAAAAAGTACAGTGCAATTGGCAGGATTCAGGGTGCAAACTCATAAATCAAACTAATAGTAAATCAGAACGTATTTGCTATGCATGCAGAAGTAAAGGCGAATTATTTTATTCTGCCAGAAATTGTCCAAAACGTTTCGAAAAAGAAGAAAATTTATCTAAAAAAAAATATCAGACCCAAAGATTAGATCTGATACTACACCTAGGAATGAGTTAGAATTTATTGAATTGTCAATTGACAGCAGGAAAATGAAATGTTTAATAAATTCTGGTAGTGAAGTGATAATTGTAGAGAAATCTCTCTTTCCCGAAAAAATACCTTCTTGATTAACAGAAATTAAAAATTCTTTTGGTCACGTGGTTAAAGCAGAAATGGCTAAGTTTATTTTTTCTTTATGCAAAAGTGAGAAACAAATTGAACTAGAGGCGGTGAAGGTTTATGAGTTGATAACAGATTGTATTTCTCCCTCATATCTGGAAAGGTTATGTGGCACTTGCTTTGAGCAAGTGATGATTATGAAGTATGGAAATGACTCCGTCCCTTCAAAAAAAAATTTTTTGTCTATTATTTCTGCAGCCACTGAGAGAGACAGCAAAATATATTTAATGGACATTAAGAATTTAAACCACGAGAAAAGCCACACAGTACATATTTAAAAATGAAAGTTATATTAAAAACTGAAATTCCAGTTTCTCAGCATTCAAGAATTCCTTTTGCTGTCCAAAACAATTGATGATCAAATCGAGGAGTGGTTAAGGGATGGGATTATAAAACCATCTTGTTCAGAATAGGCTTTGCCAATTGTTTTGTGTGAGAAGAAAAATGGCATGATGTGCTTTTATGTAGAAAAGATGTAGTGTTTGTGTAGATTTTCAAGAATTAGATAAAAAAATAGTTAAGAATTTTTTTTTTCCTATGGAACAAGTAGAAGGCGATTAAATCATTTGGGTGAAGCAAAGGATTTTTTTCTGACATTAGATATAAAAAAAATGTTTTTTTCATGTTCCCGGGGAGAAAAATGGCACTAAATTATTGGTATACATTACACATACAGGTCTCTAGAAATTCCTAAAAGTGCCTTTTGGTTTATGTATGTCACCGAGTGTGTTCCAAAGATTTATTTATACTTTGTTTACTGACTTAACTTAGGATGACATTGTTGTTACTTACATGAACGATTTTATTATTCCAGCAAGAGACACGTCTAGAAAAGTTAAAATGTGTTTTAGTAGTAGCCAAAGAATACGGTTTGGAGATCAATTTTAGGAAATACCAGTTTTTAATGAAAAAAATAGAATTTCTCAGGTATATTTACTGAGGATGGTACAATTTGCTCCTCTTCTGAAAAAAAAAAAAAAAAAAAAAAAAAACAGTGCCATTTCAAAATTTAAGAACCTAAAAACCTTAAGCAAATTCAGAGCTTCTTGGGTCTTATAGCATATTTTAGGAAATTTATTGGCAACTATTCGAAAGTAACCAAACCACTAAGTAACTTTCTTCATAATGGTTAAAATTTAAATTTGGACATGAGCAAAAAGAGGCATTTAGCATATTGAAAGAACTTTTATTGACAAGCACTATTCTTCATATTTTCAAACAAGGAGCACCAACAGAATTGCGTACAGATGGAAGCAGTTGTGGTTTCAACACTGTTTTGCTTCAAAACTCCAATGATGGACATTTTTACACCCCATTTACTTCATGAGTAAAAAACTAACCTCCAACAAGAGAAGCTGTCTAGTTATATGAGCTTGAAGTTTTAGCTATAGTAAAAGCTCTAAAGAAATTCAGAAATAAACTTTTGGGATCTAAGATCAGAATAATTACTGATGGTCTTTCTACTCCAACGGCACCCACCAAAAGAGGCTATGCAGCGACACAGCCCCCAGTGATGAAGTCACGATTAAAAATTATAATAAATATTTACAACATATACAAAAATGATGATATATTGCTAAAATATGGAAATATAGAACATAAAATACACTATAATAAAAATATACTATTCATGGTTATAGATAAGTTGAAACATATGCATAATACAAAATGTAAATATAGTACAAGTTTGTACTCAAGGAATGTAGTCTGTGACTAAATGCTTTGGAAATCAGACCTTATGCTCACTTTTAGTGGTAGATGTTTCATTAAACCATCGTGGATATCAGCCTGAAACTGGAAGAGGTAAAGAGATATGAGTAATGTCATCTGGCAGGTGGTAAGCAGGTTTTACATGATCAATTGAAACCGTAGTACATTTTCCGTTTACATCAATAATAAAATTATCATTTCTGTCAATGACTATATAAGATCCAGTATAAAGTGGTGACAAAGGAGGATTAACTTTACCTGATCTTAAAAATATATGAGAACAAGTTTTTAATGACGGGTTAATGAAAATGTTGGGACTACTGTGTAAGGCAGTAGAAATAGGGTTTAAAGATCTCATTGTGTGAAGTAAACTGATTACATATGCGGAATTTACGTAGATTGGAAGGTAATCTTAAAGCTGTGCCATAAACAAGTTGAGCAGACATTGCTTTGACATCTTCCTTAATGAGCAAATGCCTAAGAGGACAAGTGGAAGAGTTTCAGTCCATTATGAGGTATTATGAGATTTTCAGCTTGTTTTGAGATGCCGATGGAAGCGTTCCATAATTCCATTTGACCGCGGGTGACATGCAGAGGTTCGAATCCTGTTGCACCCAAGTGTGCAAATAAGTTCTCTAAAAATATCAGATTCAAAATTTTTACCCTGGTCAGATGTAATTGTAACTGGGTATCTAAATCTGGATATCCAGTCATGTACTAAGGCACGCACGGCTGTTCCTGCAGTCATGTCAGTTGTTGGAATAACTTCCAGCCATCTTGTGAACTGGTCTATAACAGTCATGCAAAACTGTTTTTGTCAGCTGGAGGGACAGGGCGTATAAAATCTATATGTATGGTGTGCAAAACGAGCATCAGGTTCAGCAAATGTGCCAATAGGAGATTTGGTATGTTTAGCGATTTTAACTCATTAACACATAT